TTGGCCATTTTACAGCTTGCTCTGTGTGAGGGTTTAGAGAGAACACTGGAGAAGGGGCAACTGGCTCTGTTGGAGAGAGATGGAAGGTCGAAGGAGAGAGGATAAAAAATTCAAGACGGAGAGGGGACAGCAGGAAAAGGAGAGTAAGATTGTAGGATTTTTTGTTTTAATAATAATAATAGTGCTAAGACAAAGATTTATCTTGTGCATTTATATATATATAAAACATGTTTTTGTTTTTATTTATTAATTAAACATGTACTTCTATTCATATAAAAATTATTATTTTTTCTTAAGTTATTTTTATCATTCAAAATTAATTGAGATTTAAATTTTATTTTAACTATGCAACGTTTACATTAGTAACATGAATAAAATAATTTATATATTTATGACATATATTAAGAAAAATAACATAAATAAAAAAATAATTAGTGTTTCTGATTTTTATGAAAAAAAAAGTGTCAAGCATATTTTTCTTCCAACAATGCAACCAAATATAACGGTTACAACTTTGAATGTGTCACTCAACTTTTTTTTTTTTTGGTACAAAGAAGGAGGCCTAAGCCTAAGGCCATCAGACATTTACGTTCCGTGTGTAAGCCACTCCAACAAGGTCGTGCTGTAACCACGGTCGAACTTCTGATGGTGGGTCGAGTAGCCGCTGACAACCACTGGGACAATGATGAGCTAGAGTCGTCAAGCAATCTGCTGCAAAATTAGCTTCTCTATAGCAATGAGACACTGTCACGTCCCAGTCCCGAAGGAGCAAGTCGCGAATGGCACGAACAATACTACCATGCACCCCAAAGTTTTTTGTTGGCTCTCCTGAGGCCATCGCCACCACACTCTTATTATCAACCTCGACGATAGTCTTGCGATGCCCTAAGTCCCAAGCAAGCAACAGACCTTGGAAGAGTCCCACAGCTCTGCTCCTGTGATAGAGCAAAATCCAATGTTCATCACGAACCCCCCAAGCCAATGACCTTCGGCGTAGCGAATCAATCCCCCAGCAGAGGCCATCCCGGAAGAAGTCAAAAAGGAGCCGTCGGTATTAATTTTGACCATGCCACATCCCGGGGCCTCCCATCTAATAAACTGGACCTCACGGCCCACGCAATGTGTCACTCAACTTTAAATTTCAACATTAGCCGTTACACATTTGAATATTTTGCTACCAAATTTAGTATTGATTTAGTAATTAATCGAAAAAAATAAATAATAAAAATATATATATATTAAGGTGACCGGTTTTAGCATATTAGTGAGCAATTAATTAAAAAAATGTAATTACTTTTGGAGGGAAATAAAAATATATTTTATTAAATGTTTTATTAAATGCATTAGTTAATAATTATATATATACATGATAACTATGCACTGATTTGAAGGGGTGATAAAAAAATTGAGATAAATTGTTAAAAAATCTCATTTACATTAAGATATCAAAAAACATAGTCTTGTGAAGAGAGTTAAAGAAGTTTTTTTTTTTTTTTGGTACAAAAAAAAAGTGAAAGTCAACATAATGACTCACCACGCCAGCATGGAGTCCTCATCACCAGCTCAACAAATGAAACAACTCCATGCATCGTACCAGCTCCCACATGCACATATGCATGTTCTTTGTCACTAGCTAATATTGGGGTGTATGGTTTGTACTGAGTATAAAAGTTATGAGCTGTATGATCTTGATTCATTTAGCATGTACTAAGGTTGGTCACATATGCATGTTCTTTGTCACTAGCTAATATTGGGGTGTATGGTTTGTACTGAGTAGAAAAGTTATGAGCTGTATGATCTTGATTCATTTAGCATGTACTAAGGTTGATCTAGACCGTAGGATTATATATATCAGATATTATATAAGACATCTGTAACCTACCTTAGGGTTTCAAGTAAGATTGTATCCTCATTTTGAGAAAAGAACTTGCAGCTGCATTAACGGCGACTGTGACTTATTATGTCAATGTTAATATCATTTCCTTTCAAAGTGGAGGCTAATGCCTAGAGCCATAAAAAAGTTATGTTTCGCGGGTATACAATGCCAATAAACATGTTGTAGTCGCGATTTAACTTCTAATGGTGGATAAGATAATCGTTGGCAACCACTAGGACTACGATGGGCAAGAGTCACCAAGCAGTCAGCCGCAAAGTTAGCTTCTCGATCAAATTGCGTCAATTTTGCCTCCCAATCCCGGTTAAGCAGATCCCGAATGGCCCAAACGAAGTACCATGCACTCCACGATTCTCCGTTAAGCTCCCGTTTACCATTGTCACCACACTTTTGTTGTCCGCTTCAACAGTAATTTTACGGCACCTCAAATCCCAGGCTAGTTGCAAACCTTGAAAAAGACTATAACTCCGATCTTGATTGAACAATACCCAATATTCATCACAAAACCCCCAAGCCAACAACCATTGCATCACAAACCTAAATAAGTTGTAGTTAAAAGTTAAAAGTAAACTTGAGTTGTACTCACTTATTAATTTATACTCGAGTCTTAACTAGTCGTACTATATAAAATTATATAAAAATTATTATTTTCAAATTACAACAAGTCGAGCTCAATTCAATTTTGATTACTATTAAACGAGTCGATTCAAGACAAAAAAGACTTCACGACTATTCTCATTCGTTTAACAACAGAGGTAAGTAAGATTTAACTTTTAACCGTTGTAATCGAGAGATTATTAAGGGAAAAAATTGTGAACAAAAGCGGACGATCATTTTTCACATTTGTTAGATTGTCCAGAGTCGCAATCTCCATACCTCTGCGATGAAACGTGAACTCAATCACTCGTACAGTGCAAAATCCAAGTGTAAATGTCATTTTTACTCTCTCATATTCTCTAGCTTTGTTCAGATCACATTCTGAGCCGCCGTCGGAAGTCGCCGTGGTCCAAGGCTACCCTATCCGCACCCGAACCCTGAACCCTAACCCAATTCGGGCTCGAATCGCAAGAGTCTTGCTTTAGGCTGGAATTGGAGGTTTCAGGTTTGGTTCTCTTTGCCCTAATCGAGTTTTCAGCTGTACCTTTTACAACACAAAAATGCTACCTTTTTCAAGTTTATTTAGCAAGTTCTTATATTCCTACCCACGGTCTCTACAAATTTACCCTTACAACTTAATTGGGGAGCCTTTGTCGAATTTTTGTGTGGTTAGCTGGTTAGATTTTGTATCTCCTTCTTCTCTATTAGCCATATTGATTGTATTCTTATCCTGTGATTGCTATTGATAAAATCCTCTTAATTTTAGACTGGGTTTTTGTGGGTTTCAAGTAGTGAAAGTTAGGAGCCTGTGAAAACCCGGATACTCGCCATCGAATTTATATGGTGGAATCAAGACATTGGGGTGGAAAGTGCCGAAAGATTTTGGATAGTTAACCAACGGAAGCCTTTTTTTAGATTTTCGTGTAGTTAGCTGGTTAGATTTTTTGTCCTTTTTCTCCATTTGCCTTACTGATTGTATTCTTATTCTGTGAATACTACTGATGAAAGCCATTTAAATTACACAGGGTTTTGGTTTGAACTTTGAAGTAGTGAAAGGTAGGGGCTTGTGAAAACCTGAATACCTTTTTGTTGAGTTTACATGGACGAATTAAGACAATCGAGTGTAAAGCGCCAAAAGATTTCGGCTGGAGATCAAAATATGACCACAGTCGATAGGCTTAGCAGCTTATCAGACGGCATCATATGCCACATTCTCTCTTTCCTCCCGACAAAGCTCTCAGTGGCGACCAGCATTCTAGGAAAAAGATGGAGGTTTCTATGGGCCCACGTCCCCTGTTTGGATTTCGGTATGCGTGATTACACTATGTTAGTAGATCAATCGGCCATCATCCATAGGTTCATTTTGCACCATGAGGCAAAAAGATTAGATACTTTGAGCCTCCAATTAGTGGACTGCAACGAATATCAACTGGAGACATGGATTATTGGTGCCATCAAGCGTAATATTCAGAATCTTAATCTTGATGTGCTCCTTGATGAAAAATTAATGCTCCCTCTTCCCATCTTCACCTGCAAAACCATTGTCGATATGAAAATTTATCGATGTAAAGGCATCCCGTCCAGTGGGGACATACGTTTGCCCAGCCTCAAAAAACTTCATCTTGATCATGTAGAGTTTGAGGATGATGAAGCCCTTCCTCACTTGCTTTCGGGCTGTCCTTTGCTCGAGGAGTTGATCTTGCTTTATAATTTTGGAAAGAACCAGAAAAATGTTGGCTGCTTTAATATATCTTCACCCACGTTGAAAACACTTTCGATCCATCTTCTACACTATTGTTGTTGTGGAGATGTAACCCCGGAAGTTATCCCTGACTATAGGATTTTAATAAACACGAAGGCACTCAGATCTCTTCGTATGATTAATTGTCCTTTCGGGCGCATCACGAATTTGGCAAATATGACCTTCTTAGATGATGCGTTCATCCGCGTTGGAGAAAATATGTATATGAACGACAGCAGCAATTACAATGTGGTGAAATTTGTTAATTCAATTTGTAACGTCAAATATCTAATGATACCAACTTCTGGAGTCGAGGAGGTATGCTATGATTTCTTCTCGTCATATTAATTTCTTTTAAAGCCTCCAGTCAATTAATCGCCGATCAGCTTTGTTCTTATACACGCTTTTTGTGGTTCTAAGTTGATTTTTTTTTTTTTTTTTTT